CTAGCACTATCAGTAGAACTAACACAAGACCTAGACCTAGAATCATTCGGATTTAGCCGTCTTGAGAGACGTGTGGCTAAATCCGAACGTTTCTAGTTCTCTGTCTAGTGTTAGTTCTAGTATTGTATTAGCACAATCACTAGAACTAACACAAGAACTAGAACCATTCGGGTTTAGTCGTCTTAAGAGACGTGCGGCTAAATCCGAATGTTTCTAGTTCTAGGTCTAGTGTTAATTTTACTTTTAGTTTATTAAAAATATACAACAATCTAACACTGAATAACAATTAAAACTAGAACTACCGTCCTTGATTTATGCATCGTATAGACAACTCGGGACATACCCCAAGTTTATCTATAAACATGGAATAGAACAACTTGAGGAATAATCAGAGATGGATTCTATCTATAATCGCAAACTTTTATATTTAAATATACTGTATTATGTATTAAATAAATCATATTAATAGTATGACTTAAAAATATTTTGTCCGTTACATCGAGGTTTTGCTATAGTTGTTTCATCTGCAGTTAGAGAGATGATTATTATTATTATAAAATGACCTCAACACGTTGATTCACTTCTCTCAAAGCAATTGATTCAGGTCACTGGCCTCTTGTCGCCCATATAAACAATAAAATGAGTAATGCATACGATTATCTCATGTTTTCATATCAGATGATGGGAATGAAACGACTTCTTCTTAAATACAAAAACAATTTTTTCGATTTAATGTAGTTTAGGTTGATATTAGAAAATAAAATTCAATAGACATTCCAAACCAATTTAACTTAAAACTAAAGAAAGAGGCGTTTATATATGGAAATGCATTTTTGTCACGGTGATTAGAGAAAGTGTAAAGCCTCGGGCGGATTTTGACCGACACCACCATGCCGTGCATTCCAAATGCCGGAGAGTGTTTTATTACGTAAGTCTCGGTGTTAGTAAAACGCTTTTCGAATGAGAAATGGTCGTCGGATGCTTAAAATAATCTCCGAATCCGGGATTGAGCGTCGAGGTTCTTTCTAGTCTGACGAGAAGAGGTGGCGAGACGCTAAGAGAGAGGCTGGTGCACTTCTTCCAGAGCAAGTTTCTATTTTAAAACCCACGGCTGGTTGATATACCGGTACACACGAATTCTACCGGGAACAGATGGCACACGCGAAGGAGTTTGTGGAATAGGCAAGAACGGTTATGGCGCTCTCAACTCAACCGTAGGATTTGACATCGTTAATTCTTGGCTTTGATTGCCGTCAACGGCTGGTTTTGTCGTCATTTTACTGTTGTATTTTCTATGTATGTCAAATAATACCAACAAATAACGGAATCAAATTATATCAATATTAAAGATTTAAGGATATTTTATTCAAGGCAATAATGTCTAGGTCATAATCATAATACGAAAACCACTGAACCATTTCTACCATAACATACACATGCCATTGAAGGTCATAAATTATACCATACAGACAACAACAGTATTTTCTCTCGTCTACAGAAATTACAGAAATAGTTGAACCAGAATCGATTGTGTGGAACGACTACGCGTTCTAGTAAGCGGTTTGCTTTCACTTTTGCATTCTGTTGACTTTTAATTGTAGGTCAGATTGAACTAGCGATTAGGTTCTACAGTAGAAGTTTACTGTTACGTTGGTTTCGCAACGTCAACGTTCCTGATAAGACTTGCATAACCTTATCTTTTTTGTTTGTTTGAAGGTTAACCGTGAAGTTTGTTCATTTTTAAAATACATGTTATTAAAATGTATAAATGCGCAGTATTTAAATTAATACAAATCGACAAAGGAGATTTGTCTGTTAGTTAAGGTGAAAGCTTAATTTTTATTTCCCACGAAATACATTGCGGTTTTTGAGGATTTTGTGTTTCTATTTTGAAATCAAATTAATTAAGAAACTTTCTAAAGTTTTTGAAGTATCTTGACAACAACTAAAATTAAATGATGAATGCGTCGTTGAAATTACCATTTTTAATTGGATTGAAATTGGAACACAAAAAAAGTAAAACAAATAATCACGTAAAATAAAAGTGAGTCTAAACTGAAACTGATCTGTAATGTGTTGGATTTTGAATGAAATTTGGCATTTTAGTTGATCTATAATGTATAGATTTTGTCGGCAGTATATAAGTTGATGCGTGGATTGCGTAGATTTAGTAAGAACTTTGGCCATTTCCAATTTTTTTGGAAAACGATTTTTCTTTGAATATTTCATATTTTGAGCTGAGAAGAATTTCTGATATCGTATTCTTCATCACGTTCCATAACAAATACGGAAGGCAAACAACAATTTTAGTATTTTCTGGAATAAGATTAGTTTTTTATTGAATTTTTGCAAATTTCGTGTTGTGTAGAATTTCTGATCAATTTTATTCTAACTATATCATATTCCTCATCATGAATAATATCAAACACGACAAGAATTTTTTTTGCCATTTCCTACTTTTCTGGAAAATCAATTTATTTACAATTTCTTCAAATTTTGAGATGAACAGATTTTCTGATCAATTTCATTTCAATTATATCGCATTTCTCATCACATATAACAGCTAGTAAGGAAGGAAAATTACTTTTACCGCTACTTATAACATTGGAAACTCGCATTCTTTGAATTTTGTTGAATTTCTTTTCAATTAAATTTGTTCTGCATCGTATTAAAATTCATATTGTGAAAAATATCTTTGAGGTGATATAATTTATAATTGACAAGAAATTCTAATAAAAAAAACACCTATATAACCCTATTAATGGTTATAAAAACTGTCAACATGTCAAAAAAAAAAAACAACAATTAACAATTTTCAATGTCTAATAAATGCGTGTTACATACTACATCTTTCAAAAATTTAAATTGTGTTGTTGATAGTCCAGACAGAGAAGTTTCAAATACGAAGGTACGTTTTGTTTAAATTATGTTGAAAATGTAGTCTGTTAATGGGATGGGTATAGAATTTCGTAAATTCGTAAATTTTTCTCAAAAACTCGTGGTTATTGGCCGATGTAGCAGCTGATGACTCAGTATGCAACGATCCGCTTTGGACCGTTTCCAATGTATAAATACATTTTCACCAAGGTCTCCCAAAGCAATTCACAAAACTGTTATCTGTTGCTCTACAACCTCGAAATTACAACGGCCCGGAGTGTTTAAATCGAACGTATTCGAAAGTGTTCGATTTTCACTCTCGCTCATTTTTTTGCTTAACATTCTTATACCCGGTGGAAAATTCTGTTTTGGTTCAACACTCATTAATTGTTTTAACGTTTATGTAACTTCATTTCATCACATGTTTGTTTGCTTATGATTAATTGGTTAGGGACCCATTTTTTAAATAAACATTGACGTAGTCGGAACGTCTGCGGTTTAAATATTTTGATTGTTACTAAATATCAATGTTTGATATTTGATATGAGCGGCAAAATACATAAAAGTGTAATTCTACACCGGAAACGGGAAACCAGAATATATCTTTGTCAATCGATTTAGTTTTTTTTACCATTTTTGAATTAAAATGTTATTTAGTATTGAAGTAAAACCTTGATAAAGTAAGGCGTTGTCTTTTTCATCGAACTCTTCCACTCCCAACCAAGTTAACGTTCGATTCGAGATAGTTGTGCGACACAGGAACAACATTTTGCAACGGTTTCCCGACCAGCGAGGTCAGCAGAGATCATCCAAGGTCGTGTCTTGGTTCAAAAAGGCAAAAGATTTACATAACTGGTCGAGATTCGTTCTATTATTACCCCGGCAAATAGTTCAGCGAATGCATTTCGATTAGAAATGACCGCGGTCAATTGTATTGTTGTTGTTATTGTTGTTGTCGTCGCCACAGATTGGTTGTGGGCGCGGCAAAGTTCACTTCCCATTGTGCTTCTCTTAATTAACTTGACTCGAATGCCGAGGTAAACACCTTTATGTAATGTAATAATAACAACAGGTATTTTCGATGATTAAGCGGTGCTTTAATAATAGAAGAAATAGCAAATCTATTTTCTACACAGTTTTAGCTGTTGCTTTCATCGACCCATTAAAGTGGTATTAATTAATTTGTGTGGGATGGATAGAGCAGGTGTTTAAACATGTTCGTTTTTTTTGGCACCGAATCAAATAGCGAAACGATAAATTGCTTTTGGGATTTTGGTTTCAAATGTGGTTTGACAGAGCTAATAGGTCGACTGCGTCATATTCAATTATTCTTTTAATTTTGTTTTGAGTGAACGCAAGGTCAGCACAACAATTATTGTTTGTGAGGTGATTAATTAGACATTCCTTTTTGGAATGCGGGTGTCACGAAAACAGAAAACGAAAGATTCTTTTGTTTGGATCGTTCTTATCAGTCAAAATGTTTTTAAGTATACTGGTTTTTCAGGTCGTTTCTAATTTCGACACTTAAAATTCTTTCGTATTCCACTTTATTTATTTTATTTACGTTGCGTATTTGCAATTGGAAATTTTCCCACTATTAATTATTTATTAACGCATTTATGAAATATTCATGTTACGTATTTTAAGTATTTTAAGGCGTTTTCTTGCTATGCGGATTTGAAGAAGTCGTCAAGCATAAAACAAACGTCAAGAGATAAAAATTTGTTGTTTTGGCGGGATTTGTGCAAACAGAGTGCAGCAAAACGGACGTTACTGTTTGCTAAGGTTTTGCTCTATTCTCTTACAGATACCGTCGCGACAAACAAATATTTGCCAAGATAGGTTACCCAAGAAACGCAACACAAGAAATGAAACCCAAGTAATAAATAATATTACAATTTAAATTTTACGCCAATAAACAACCACTTTATAACCAACGGTACTCACCAAGTAAATCCCATGATAATAAATAATAAAGCTTGGGATTTATTTAACTCTTAAGTATACTGATAGCATAAAACGTTGTTAGTTTAAGGTTTAAGGTGTGGTAATTCTGAAAAGATAAATGCTTCATTGAATATTGTTATTTATACTTATCTATAATTTATTATTAAAATTTTCAGACATTCACGGCTTGGTGTAACAGTCACCTTCGTAAAGCTGGAACATCCATTGACAACATAGAAGACGATTTCCGTAATGGCCTTAAACTTATGCTCCTCCTCGAGGTTATTTCCGGTGAAACTTTACCGAAACCGGATCGTGGAAAAATGCGTTTCCATAAGATTGCGAATGTTAATAAAGCCCTGGATTACATCGCCAGTAAAGGGGTTAAATTGGTATCAATTGGTGCTGAAGGTTAGTAATAAAATTTTTTATTACATCTTATGCTCTAATGAGCTCACGTAGAACTCTAAAAAAGGGAAAGTGTCTCCTGGATTCCATACAAATCATTGTCCAATCTACCGTGACTAGCATTTATTTATTTTTATTACGTTCCAACACGTTTCTACATAAACCATGAATAATAAGTGTAAGAACGTGTGTGATTTAAATCTAAATTAACCGTTCGACAGTTCAATTAAAATATCCTTCCTCATTCCGTTTCTTTTTAGAAATCGTTGATGGCAACTTGAAGATGACCCTTGGTATGATCTGGACAATCATCCTCCGTTTCGCTATCCAGGATATCTCCGTGGAAGAGATGACAGCTAAAGAAGGCTTGTTGTTGTGGTGCCAGAGAAAGACTGCCCCATATAAGAACGTCAACGTCCAGAACTTCCATTTATCGTTCAAGGATGGTTTGGCTTTCTGCGCCTTAATCCATCGTCACCGTCCGGATCTCATCGATTATAACAAACTATCGAAGGATAATCCTTTGGAAAATTTGAACACTGCCTTTGATGTTGCCGAGAAATACCTCGATATTCCTAGGATGTTGGATCCAGACGGTAAATGAGTGTTTAAACAAAAAATAATATATATACAGTATAAAAAAGAGAGGATAATAGAATTAGAAAATTTGGTTATTCAAAATTTTCAGATCTTATCAACACGCCAAAGCCCGACGAGCGCGCTATCATGACCTACGTGTCATGTTATTATCATGCCTTCCAAGGAGCGCAACAGGTATTGCGAAATTTGGAAGGGCTTTGAGTTTTGTACTTTTTTTTTTCGAGCTTTTTATATTAACAAAAACAATTTTTTTAATTAAAATTTGCTTTTTATCGTCAGATATGAACCTTTAAAAGATGTTACCTTTAATCACATTAACCAACCCACCTTTTTTTTGATAATTACTAAAAAACGACGTTTGTGTTATGTGTGTTTTTTTCTTTTTGCGCATGCAGACTTACAGAACACTGCGATGCCAGATGAACGAGCTGTTATGACTTATGTTTCTTCATATTATCACTGCTTCTCTGGAGCTCAAAAGGTGATTTTTGAAGTATTTTTTTAACACATTAACATACGATTTGATATAAGGTGGGGAAAAATGGTTTTAGATGCGAATAAAAAGTAAATTAGTTAAAATTAGGACAATTTTGTAAATTTGAAAAAATTTTATTTTAGATCTTAAATCTTAATTGTACAGGACAAATTAATTGAGCGATAACAATTAAGCGTTGGGATCACAACATGATTTGGGGACAACCTATCTAATACAAAATTGTACAAAACCCAACTTTGGCAGTGGAACAAAAAAGTTGCACGGTTTCAAAAAAATTTTCTGCGTGTTGTGTACTGATTTCATGTGTCTTATAGGCTTACTTTTCATACAAGATTTTCCTCTACAATTATTAATTATGGACAGTCAAATTTGAAGCTTCCAGTGTGTTTCTGAATAGAGAAACATGAAAAATGCAATTAAATGGAAAGTACCAGCTTACTGGTTGTTATTAAAATGCAATGATATACTGAACAAAGCATACGCAATCTCTTTTTAATAATTAATTATATGCTTGGAAATGTCTACAATTGACAGATGATATCTACTTTCAAATATCTGCAACAATATCAGCCACTATCTCTTATCAAGAGTTTGTCTACATCGATCTGATAACGTGTACAGCTATCTGGATAACATCTGCAAAAACTTATTGTAGGAATTATCTGATTTGTTGAATTATCTGCAGAAACATTTTGTCAATATCACAAATACTTATAATGTGTAGAATTGCCTATGTTTATAAATATCTACAAATGTTTGTTACACCACCAACCTTCTGTCTAACAGACAGAGTGATTATAAATGATTTTGATATTATCACAAAACTTTTCACATAAGCAATTTATCAAGTTTTTTTATGGTATTACAGATGCCTCACATGCTGCTCTTTAGTGATACTGTAGATATTAGTTGTATAATCAAATTGTTCCTATACTCAACAAGTTTTTAACAATTTGATCAAATTTGAATTAAGATAGATCCTTGCAGTTCTGATTAAGGAGATTTAGTCAAGGTCATCTTTTTGGGAAGGCATTAACATTAAATATTTCACATATTCCATGAAATAAGTTTACTCTGCGTCAAGTTGTGTGAAAGAGGGAGTCATGACATCAATTTCTGATCATCTTTGTTACCAGAATCATCGATTTACCTTGATTAAAAATTCACGAACATCGCAGCACCATTCTACTTGTATCCACGCAGCAGTGAAAATGTCATTGCAAAATTAAGCATATTTTAAGTCCCCATTAAAACTTAATGTCGATATTGAAAAGTTTATGGAGTTGGTAAATAGCCAATCTTATGTGATTTATCACATGAAAGTTTCAAAGATGCCAGAGAAATAATAAATTGGCAACAAATAATTAATGGTTTGTTGGGTAAATTGTGGATGCTTCAATGGCATTCCAACGAGTTTTGACTGAGCCACCTATAACATGGTGGGTTCTAAATGAGTCTTGAATTTGATGAGTATTATGTTTGGAAGATCCTTTGAGATAAGGATATTCGCGATGAGACGGAGAGCAGAAAACAACTCCAGATTAACTTTCTTCACTGTGCATCACAGAGAAAATCTGATAGGAGCGATTGCATCTGATTACGCGGCCCACTCAGATATAACGTATTTCATCACTTCCAAAGAGCAGATACTTTGATTCAAACCTTATAAGTCTCTGAATACATCACCAATGCCATTTAAGTAAATTAATTCCTATATCTTGGTTTAATTTTTATTCGCATCCGAAATCATTTCAACCATTTTACTTACACCTTGTATATACAACCAACTTCTTTTGTTCTTAATTTTTACATATATTAATTTATTTAGGCTGAAACTGCTGCTAATAGAATCTGCAAGGTACTAAAAGTCAACCAAGAAAATGAACGTCTCATGGAGGAATACGAACGTTTAGCTAGCGACGTAAGAACATAAATTAATTTCAAAAATAAATATTATATTGATGATTTTTTTAGCTTTTAGAATGGATTCGCCGTACCATGCCATGGTTAAATTCCCGCCAAACCGATAATTCTTTAGCTGGCGTTCAAAAGAAACTTGAAGAATACCGTACCTACAGGCGCAAACACAAACCTCCACGCGTCGAACAAAAAGCTAAACTTGAAACTAACTTTAATACACTTCAAACGAAACTAAGATTGTCTAATCGTCCCGCTTACATGCCAACGGAAGGTAAAATGGTTTCGGATATTACCAACGCTTGGAAAGGACTTGAAACTGCCGAGAAAGCGTTTGAAGAGTGGTTATTGTCCGAAATGATGCGCCTCGAACGTCTTGAACATTTGGCGCAGAAATTCAAGCATAAAGCCGATGCCCACGAAGATTGGACCAGGGGTAAAGAAGAGATGCTTCAAAGTCAAGACTTTAGGCAGTGTCGTCTTAATGAGTTGAAGGCTTTAAAGAAAAAACACGAAGCTTTCGAGTCGGATTTGGCCGCGCATCAAGATCGTGTTGAGCAAATTGCTGCTATTGCTCAAGAATTAAAGTAAATATCTTTATAAAAGAAATTATTTAAAAATAATAATTTTTTTTGTCTTTAGCACTTTGGAATATCATGATAGCGTGAGTGTTAACGCACGTTGCCAACGTATTTGCGATCAATGGGATAGGTTAGGTGCTTTAACTCAACGTCGCCGCCAAGCTTTAGATGACGCTGAAAGGATTTTGGAAAAGATCGACATTTTACATTTGGAATTTGCCAAACGCGCAGCTCCATTTAATAATTGGCTCGATGGAACACGCGAGGATTTGGTTGATATCTTCATTGTTCATACTGTTGAAGAAATTCAAGGGCTTATTGATGCTCATGCTCATTTCAAGGTAAAAATTTAGTAAAAAATCTTGCTTTGGTTAATTATTATGATTTAAATATTTTTATAGGCTACTTTAGGAGAAGCTGATAAAGAATACCAGAGCATTGTTGGTCTTGTAAGAGAGGTAGAAAGTATTGTGAAGCAACATCAAGTTCCTGGAGGTCTTGAAAATCCTTACACAACTCTTACCGCTCACGTAAGTTTTTTTTGTTATGCACCTCGATATTTTTCACTTTATTTCGAGTCACACTCATTAGAACGAATCAAAATTTTAATTGAGAGAAAACGATTAATTTCTTTTGGCTTATTTTGCGGCCAAGGAAGGGATCAGTAGCAATTTGGAGGTAAAAAATATCAAAAAAATTAAAAGAAATAGGTGTCCCAATTCAATTTGTTTGATCAACAAACAACATCTTTTATTAATTTGTTTTTCGGGGTAGGATCTTACCAGAAAATGGGCCGACGTTAGACAATTGGTACCACAACGTGATGCTACATTACAAGCTGAACTTAGAAAACAACAAAGTAAGATTAGATAATTTCTTTTGATTAATTACTTAAAATATTTATCAATTTAGACAATGAGATGTTGCGTCGTCAATTTGCTGAAAAAGCTAACGCAGTTGGTCCATGGATTGAAAGACAATTGGATGGAGTAACAGCTATTGGAATGGGTATTCATGGAACTCTTGAAGATCAATTACACCGTCTTAAAGAATTCGAACAAGGAGTTTACGCATATAAACCGCATATTGAGGAATTGGAAAGAATCCACCAAGCTGTACAAGAAAGCATGATCTTTGAAAATAGATACACTCAATACTCGATGGAAACTTTAAGAGTTGGATGGGAACAATTATTAACTTCGATCAATCGCAACATCAACGAAGTTGAAAACCAAATTTTGACGCGCGATTCAAAGGGAATTACACAGAGTCAATTGAATGAATTTAGATCATCATTCAATCATTTCGATAAGAACAGAACCGGACGGTTAACTCCTGAAGAGTTTAAATCATGCTTGGTTTCTTTGGGTTATTCGATTGGAAAGGATAGGCAAGGTGAAATTGATTTCCAAAGGATTTTAGCTGTTGTTGATCCTAACAATACTGGATACGTTCATTTTGATGCTTTCTTGGACTTTATGACTCGTGAAAGCACTGATACAGATACAGCAGAACAAGTTATTGATAGTTTCCGTATTTTAGCAGCTGATAAGGTTTGTGTTGATTAAAACAAAAAAATTTTTTTTTTAATTAATTCTTTTTGTGCAGCCATATATTTTACCTGATGAATTAAGAAGGGAATTGCCACCAGATCAAGCAGAATATTGTATTCAACGTATGCCACCATATAAAGGACCAGGTGCTGCTCCAGGAGCTTTAGATTATATGTCATTTTCGACTGCCCTTTATGGCCAGTCTGATCTGTAATTTGTAAGAAAGTCGCCCCCTAAAGGTGCGGAGGGGTGTTTTTGCCATCAAGGAAATGATACCATATCTCATTGCCTTAAAGAAATTCATTCGAATCATTTATTTATTTTTACTTTGTAGATGTTATGCAGCTAGAGCGGATTTGAAAATTCGAGTTCGCTCTAGTTGCATAAGAAACGTAGTGAAACAAGCTTTGTAAGTATAAAAAACGACGGTCGTGCGACGCGGTCGCTCGATTTGAAAATTTTTGAAATGAAACGATTTTTAGTTATTTATTTATTATTTTTTTTTCTTGTCGCTTGGTGCCCTTACAGTTTAGTTTACTACAACGGTAAGAACTATTTTTTTGTTTTATAGTTTATTTTCGGAATTTACGTATTGTTATTTTTCTTTTTTTTGCGAAGCTCTAGATTTAGTTTATTAATTAATAAGTTTTTCCTTTTTGATGTGTACAGAAAAAAAATGATGTTACAACGTTAAATGCTCCTTTTAAATGCTCTCTATATCACTATTATTTCATTTCCCCCTTTTTTTTTCAATTAATTCTTTTTAAATCGAAACATTTTTTTTTGGCTTATCACTATCGGAGTATTTAAAGTTTGCGTTGGGAGTTTATTTTATTATATAATATCCGTGGACGAAAACAACAAACATGGGAGCTGAAATGAAACAGTCGCCAAAGTATATTAACTTGTATGTTTACAGCAGACGATACTTGTATGATTACGAGTCAAATTCAAAAAGAAAAAAAATAAAAAAAAATGAAATTGATTTATTATAATAGTTATTAGACGCGATACTTCATTACATTACTATTTGCACACCACTGTGTTCTGTGCAAATGATGGGAGTGTAGTGCTCTATATTATATGTTCAAACTTTATATTTCATATAAGTTATACGGCTATGTGAATAAATGTAATTTTAAAAGAATTGCTTTTTTTGTTTAAATTTTTCTTTATTTTCTAAAATTGCTAATTGATTTAAACTTAAAAACGCTTATTTTTCTTCGTCTTACGTTAATGCTTCCTTGTAGAGAACATTCTAACATTTTTTTTCAATTCCTGCAATAGAATTTCTTTCAGTTCCTAGGCAAATTTTGTCAATCCTTCAATAATTAAATTCACGCGCTAAAGATATTTCCAGGTCAAAATTTATTTCAAGGGCACGAGTAGCGGATACAGTAACAGTTTGCATATGTTCTAAATATTACAATCTCAACCTAAACATGACACAAAGGCCTTGGGTGCTCTCCATATTTTTTAATTCCTTACCATTAAAGAAGTATGTTGGATGATAAACATGTTGACATGTGAAGGGCGCTATATGACACTTATCCATATTCAAATGTAACTTATTAACATTGCACTCCAGTCATGATGTAAATTTAGCTGAAAGGACTATTTGAGACATCAACACCACTGTATATCTTGAAATTATAATTATATACCAAAATGTGTAAAGTCAATTCCACAGTTAACAAATTTATGAATAGACTTTGATTTTGTACTTTAGACTGGTTTTTATTTTATATAGAATTTAAGTCTAACCAGTTTCGGCCCTTGGCCATCTTTAAAGGCTCTACAAATAGATTAACATCTTATCTCTCATCTTATCCATTTTACAAACAAGTTTCTTAATATTTCTTTTTGTTTTGTTAAAAAAGATCACATATCAAAGTCGAAATCAGGTTATTGGTTACTAATTTACAAAATTAAAGTTTAAAAAGTTATAAAATGAAATTAAGGACGAAGTGTTACAAGTTTACAGATTAAAATTTAAGAACGCTCTTCTTTAACAAAAGAAATATTAAGAAACTTGGGAAAAATTCAAGAATCATCATAATAATCAATGTGAAATGACCCAAAAAACACGTTAGAAATAAAAAGAAAGTTCGGAAAAGTGACTAACACTAGATTAATTTCAGTTATAAAACTTCTATTACATGATAACTAACTTCAGGTTTAAAATGTCAACCTCAATTTTGGCATATTTCTAATCTTCATTAAAAATCCTTTAAAATGAGTACAAACACGACATATTTATCTTCAATATTAATGAAGTTATAGTCAACTTCCGGTTAAGAATGTCAACGTCAATTTTGACATATTTGTAATCGTCGTGAAAAATCCTTTCAAATGAGTCCAAACATGATACGTTTAATTCCAATATTAATCGAGATATAAGCAACTTCCGGTTTGAAATGTCAATGTTATTTTGACATATTCATAATTTTTATAAAATGCCTTAATATTTGTCGCAAAAACAAAAATATAATAAAAAAAAATAAAAAATTAAGGTTGGTATTAATATTTAAAAATTAAATTGCTATCTTCATTGTTGCTAACTTCGGGTTTAATGTTTTTTATTCTAACTTTTTTGTTTTTTGAGATAAGTGCGTCATCTTTGGACTCATTTTAAAGGTTTTTTAATGAAGTTGACAAATATGTCAAAATTAAAAGTTGAACGTTCGAACTTTTTGGTTTTATGAGAGATGCGTCAAGTTTGGGCTCACTTTAAAGGTTATTTTATGAAGATTACGAATATAATAATAAAATTAAAGTTGAGATTGACAACTGAAAGTTTTTTTCACAACTAAACCCAAATGTTTCTAGCTTTAGTTCAATAAAAATATACAAAATAGTAATATCTTATGCTAACTAGACCTACCTACCACTGCCACTAGAACTAACACTAGACCGAGAACTAGAAACATTCGGATTTAGTCCCACGTCTCTCAAGACGGCTAAACCCGAATGATTTTAGTTCTAGATCTTGTGTTAATTCTAGTGATAGTGCTGGTGTAAAACTAGAATTAACACTAGACCTAGAACTAGAAAGTTTCGGGTTTAACCTTGCGTCTTCTAGCGTCTTCTGCGTCTGGTCTAGTGTTAGTTCTAGTTTTAGTGCAATAAAAACATGCAACATAGTGATTAACTAGCGCCAGCTACCGCTGTCGTTTGTAAAGTGGATAAGATGAGAGATGTTAATCTATTTGTGGAGTCAATCGCCGAAACTAGTTAGACTTAAATTTTATATAAAATAAAAGACATACTTTTAATTTTATACTAATATCTAGAAAACGACATTGGTCCGAAATTGTAGGTTCATCTATTTTTTCTATTGTAGAATTTCTTGGTGTATCTAAGTGTCATATCTAAGTCGGTTTCTTAGACATATGATGCAAATCAGACTTGAAATCGTATAACATGACTGGCGCTTAGCTTTATTCTTTAAAACAAATAGTATTTTAGGTCTTTCGGTATTCTGCATTTTTTCTAAGATAAGTTACACCTTTACCTACCAGACAGCATAAAAATCTTTAAAAACAATAAAATGTCGCTTAGTCAAGTGATGTATAACGCGGTCCATATATCTCGACATATTCTAGCAATAAGTCACTAAACAACTTAAAAAGCTCAATATCAGCTTTCAATGTAAATTCATCTCATCCCAAACATGTTCGATATGATTGATATCAGAACTCAGTCTTGTCCAATCAAATTCCTATTTAATCCAGATATTCACTGAAAAATCTCATAATTCTTAGAAGATTTTCGAAGGTTGTCGAAAGCTCCTAAGTTATTATTGAAAACTGCCAGAATTGCGTATTATATCTTTTAGTGATCTCATGTTTTTGTAAGTGGATTATGCCTAATATAAAGTCCAATATTAACTTTTCTGTGTTTACAGAATCTTTCACACAACAGTGTTTCCAGCTGTATTTAGCAGACAAATTAATATGTACTACTTGATATACCTACTTGAAAGTATGCTATAGTTAAGGCAAGCTTTTCAAGGATAGAATGTGGTCTTGACCCGTTGCCTTTTCCATGTTTAATCCTGAAATCGCTCTTTAGGTCTCCAAAGGTGAAGACAATTGCTGACCTTACTATCTGTATCGCTATTTTATAAGGAAGTCTTCAGGATACTTGATCCAGGTATGCCCTTACAAATGTTTCAAGTACTTTACTTTTTGATGTTCATTATTATTTTGTTATTTGTTTTGCCAGCTATTCAACATCCACGTATCTTTCATCCTTACTTGCGTCTATTTGTGAATGAATCCTTTCTTTCTAGCTGATATGAACACTCAATCTCAGACATTGAACTGATGTTCTTGTTTTGCAGCTACTCCACATTCATAGTAAAGTTTCAGGTTCCTCACGTTTTTTATTTGTCGTTTGTCTTTTCCAGAGTCTTTATCTTGCATTCTTTTGCAAAAACTACATATACTGAATACTACAGTAAGTGTTGGTCCATATCCACAACAAATTGTCCTGATTGTTCTCGAAACGTTCTGTCTTTTGCTATGTACGAATCTTAGTACTCGTAGACTCTGGAAAAGTGAAATAACAAATACAAAAGGCGAAGAACGTGAAGCTTTACTATGAAAACTAGTACTGAATGTGGAGAAGCTGCAAAACAAGAACATCAGTTGAATGTCTGAGATTGCGTATACACAATAAGTTAAGACTTTGATTTTTGTTTTTAGACCTAAAAGATTTCTTTCTTACAATATCGACTCCAAAAGTTTAACGAAAGTTTGAATCAGTTCCTAATAAGTTTATAAAGATCCACATAACTTGAAGTTATAGTTGTTACCAATCTAACAATGTAAGAAATAAAAATAGAACTTAACTATAAATATTATTAGTATCTATCACCTCGATTTGATGTCATATGACTCATCAGTGGAACAATTCACGGTTTTAATTATTAAAAGAATGATGATCGTTTAATGGTTTTTTTATTCTCTTATATACTTTGTTTAAAAACCACAGAAAAACGATCAGTACAGTTTTAATCAAGTTTAACAATAGAAATGTGCACCACAAAGAAATACATTTTATAGTTAGTTGGATCGAAAAGATTATTGCTTACAATGTGTTAATTACCGGTTTATAATGAACTATAATTTCCGTTCTAAAATGTACGTCGTGTACAGGTTGTGAGGTTCTCAATTCAAGTGCGGCGTATCAAATTATCAGATCGTATGTAGTGAATCGTTTATGCGTGTAACTCAAAAAATCGAGTACTTCCACGGGGTCTTTTATCTTGAGCATTGTCGCCGCGGTTCTCTGGTCCTTAACCGGTAGAACAAGCGGTCACTTAACAGTTAACATAAAGCGAAATCTTTTTTTTATAAGAACGCGACACAATGCTCTATAGACGGGATGTTACAATGCATACCTATTCTAATTTTGCCCTTTGCCGTCGCTTCTTTGCTTCTTGTCGGCCGTTCGAGGCCGTTTGCGCTCAATACGCCGGCGTCCTTAGGTTTCGAAGGAAAAAACCCGCCAATGACTATATAAACTGGCGCGAGCTGATACAAAGAAGTCTTAAATTGCGACCAACAAAGGGCAGCACACAGCCTGCTAATAAGCGTGCGGTGTCCACAGAGGCCTAACCACCATCTACTTAACGATGCAAAGGATTGTAGTGCACTGGCGACCAATACATTGTAATATGGTCCAAGGACGAGGTACACTTTCTTGTCCGAAGACCTTAATGCGGGCGGTCACATCCTTTGTGGGGCAGGTGGGCCTTTCTGATGCTACTTGAGACAATTTCACCTCAAAGAGTAGTATTATTCGAAATAACGATGCAGTTGTAATAAAACTACTTTTTACGACATTTACAATTGAATTTTCCGCCAGCGTGCAATAACTGTAAAATTTTTCATTCGGTACATAACTCAAGAGGCCACCGAAAAACGTATTTCCGCCTTTCGAGCTCTAGGTCTCGGTAATTTGGAACTGCCGCATAGATAGACCGGATCAAAAATGCATGGCCATTGTCTGGTCTCTCGCTAACAATAAAGAGACTAGTTTATTGTCCCCGATGTCACGTCTGAGCATAAAGTGAGCGCTTACTGCTGTTCTACTACTCCTCTTAAAACTGGACCCGAGCCACACTTATTAATTTATAAA